GGCCGCCGACGCCGGCGCCCTCGTCGCCGAGGCGGGCCTGGCCTTCGACGTCGCCTACACGAGCACGCTCAAGCGCGCCATCCGCACCCTCGACCACGCCCTCGAGCAGAGCGACCACATGTGGATCCCCGTCACGAAGGCGTGGCAGCTCAACGAGCGCCACTACGGCGCGCTCCAGGGCCTCGACAAGCAGCAGACCGTGGACAAGCACGGCCTGGACCAGGTGACGATCTGGCGCCGGTCCTACGACATCCCGCCGCCGGACCTCGACACGACCTCGCCCATGTACCCCGCGAACGACCCCAAGTACGCGGCGCTCGACGCGAACTGCATGCCGACGACGGAGTCGCTCGCGACGACGGCCGCGCGCGTCATCCCCTACTGGCAGCAGGTCATCGTCCCCGAGCTCAAGGCCGGCAAGTCCGTCATCATCGCCGCCCACGGCAACAGCCTCCGCGCGCTCGTCCAGTACCTCGACGGCATCTCGAACGACGACATCACGGAGCTCAACATCCCCACGGCGACGCCCCTCCTCTACACCCTCGACGCCGACATGCGGCCCATCCCCGACGCCGACGCCATCGCGCCCCTCCAGGGCAAGTACCTCGGCGACCTCGACGCGATCCGCGCGCGCATCGAGGGCGTCAAGAACCAGACGAAGTGAGCCGCGCGCGTGTTGTAACGCCCTCACGCCTTGCATTACCAGTCGACTCCGAAGATTTGGACCGTGCCGTCGGCCGCCCAGATGGTCATCTTGAGCGCGCCCGGCTCGTAGTTGAGCTGGACCTTGTCGCCGCGGCCGAGGGCCTCGGCGACCTGGTCGTGGATGGCGACGACGGGGATGGAGCCGAGGACGCGCAAAAAGGCCGCGTCGGGCGCGCCGCCCGCGCATTCCACCGTCGCGGCCTCCTCGAGCGGGAAGGGCCCGTAGCCTCCCGCGAACGTGAGCACGGCGACGACGCCGTGCGCGTCGTGGTCGCGGATCGCGCAGCCCACGGCGCGCATGTCGGCGCTGAGCACCGTCGCGCGCTGCGTGCGGCTCGCCACGCCGTCGTCGACGACGAGCTGCGCGACGAGCAGCGGCGCCGTGAGGTGGCGGTACGCGAGGCACTCGGACGCGCGCTCGAACCAGCGGCCGTGGCGCGCGAGGCGCTCCGCGGGGCGTGATCCGTCGCTGCCCTCGTGGCCCAGGCACTTGCCGCACTTGACGAGGTCGTCCGCCTGCTCCGCAGCGGCCACGTCCATCCCGGCGTACGACGCGAGCGCGGGCAGCGGCGCGGCCGCCACGCGGAGCGCGGCGATGGCCTCGATGACTGCGTCACGGCCCTCGTGGGTCATGAAGGGCTGGGCGCCGGGCTCGCGGGGCCAGAACGACTTGTCGTCCTTGAAGAGCTCGAGCGTGCCCTCGAGGACCGCGGCGTACGCGGCCGGGTCCGCGCGGAGCCGGTTGAGCTCCGCGACGAGCGCCGCGGCCGTGAGGGGGGCGGCGGCCTCGGCCTCGTACTGCTTGTAGAAAACGAAGCG